ATTTTATCAAAATTTTCAACTGAATATTAAAGTACATAGGCGTTTCTTAAACAACAACAACAAAAAAAGAAAAAAAAAACATCAGTTGTTTATATTTTTTAAGTAAGACGGATTTACAGCATATTATTTTAGGCCTGCCGTGCAAAAAAATATATTTATCTTAATTTTTTGTAACAACTCCTGATTTATTCCCGATCCTGGTGAACTGACTCTTGGTTTACAAAAGAAAAATAAATTAGTGCTCCACGTTGTAAATGCGGCTTGCTCGGCCCTCTTCTAAAATGAAAGTGATTAAAAAATAAAAACACAAACTGTAACGTTTCTCCAAGAGACAAAGAAATCTTGGAAAATTTATTAAAGTCAGCGCTGCTCCGGCTTCAGCTGCAAAAATGTAGATTTGCCTTTTTGTAAATTATGTATACAGTTGCATAAAAGCGTTTTCAGTAGGCCTATTTATTCACAATTTACAAGATTTTACAACAACAGGAACAAATTCAAATTACACCGACTCACATGTTTACAAGCATCAAAACTGGAAATCAATTTAAACTGCAGCCTGTAACTTTTTTTTCTTTCTTTCTCCACACCGCTCTGCATTTATTATACGCTTCCCTCTTTAAAACATCCTCCAAACACTCGGCTGGTGTCTGTAATTCCGCCGAAATGTCGGAGAATAAAATAAGCTTTAAAATTGCACCAGCCTGTACGGATTATAATTTAAACGGTGTCAGAAGTTGGCAAGCGATCTGAGGCGCTTTCGGACAAAAAAGATCCATCACTTTTTTTTTTTTTTTTAATTATTATTAAAAAATAAAATTAAATTAAAAGTTCAAAGTGATTGCATTATCATGACTGCAGCCGCCTATAATTTACAGTCCATCAGCAGCTGGAGCCCGCACGTGGAGTGGAAATATTTGGTTGTGTTCGCAGTGCTTACAGTTCATATATGGACGTTTTAAATGTGCGTGAGGGGAACCGTCCCGTTCACCGCAGCGGAGCCCCCGCTCTGGTAGTGCTGCGGGTGCAGCACATGCAGTCTGCTTTGAACGGAGTCGCCGCCCGCCGCCTCGCCAGTGGGCAGATACATGCTGATCATGTCCCGCAGGTCTCCCGTGGGGCACGGCGGCGGTGCGCGCCCCGTGGAAACGGGCGGGCTGACGCTCGGCTCCGATTTCACGAGCGAACCCAGAGTCCCTCCGATGGCCCCGGACACGGGGGAGACCCCGGAGCTCTGGTGCTGGTGGGTGTAGCCGGTGATGCCGCCGTAGCCCGGCGGAGAGGCGCTCATGTAGCTCTGAGAGTTCGAGATCGGGCTGTAAGACAAAGCGCTCATGTCATACCTGTGCACCGGCTGCGGGTTGTGCGGGTGGTGATGCGGGTGGTGGTGGTGGTGCGGGTGATGGTGCGGGTGAGCCCCGCTGCCCGGGTGTTGGGTGTACGCCAGCTGCGCCTCCTGCATCATGGCGTGAGCCGCCGCCGCTGCGGCCGCCACCTGACCCGAGTACGTCCCGTTCGCCCAGCCGTTCACATGCGAGGCGTAGCCCGCGCTGGCCCCCACATGTCCCGCTCCGGGGCTCTCCAGCCGCTGCCCGCCGCCCATCCCCACACCCGGCGATGAACCGAGGAGTCCGCCGGCAAGTGAGTACTTGTCCTTCTTGAGTAGAGTCTTGGTCTTCCTCCGCGGGCGGTACTTGTAGTCCGGGTGTTCCTTCATGTGCATGGCCCGGAGCCGCTTGGCCTCGTCGATGAAGGGTCTCTTCTCCGCCTCGGTCATCACCTTCCACTCCGCGCCCAGCCGCTTGCTGATCTCTGAGTTGTGCATCTTGGGGTTCTCCTGTGCCATTTTCCTCCGCTGGCCCCGGGACCACACCATGAAGGCGTTCATGGGTCTCTTGATCCTCTCCTGGGGGACCTTCCCTGCGGGCCCCCCGCCTCCTCCTCCCGCATGTCCGCCCGGGTTGGATGGGTTGGTCTGGGGCACCACGGGGGAATGCAAGTCCGTCTCCATCATGATGCTGTACATTCACCTCGTCTTTGTAGGACAGAGTCAGACAGACAGAAACATTCAGCCTCCAAAAACACGGAGGGAAGAAGTGACTGAAATCCACTCAGAGCTGAAACTGCAGCGTCTTCCTCCTCCGTGTCATCCGTGGAATGGGAAGGACTTGTTGGAGCGGACTTTGGTTGAAGCTGAGCCTTACTGGGAAAAGTTACCGGTGCGTGCCCGGGCCGCGCGCTCTGACAGCAGCTAAATGAGCGCAAGGCGGCCAATGGAGAGGCGCGAGCGCAGACGTGATTTGCATGCAAGGGGCTCGAGGTTCTGGTGACGTCGGAGCGCGAGACCTAAAAATTACTCCCTCTGTCATCGTTTTTGCGCGTGTAGCTAGAAAAAAACACGACAGGAGCGCGAGTCCAAAAATGAGTCAGGAGGACTGAGCGATTTAATGGATCATTTTTATTATTTCAACTCACAAATCGGAAGAAAAATGTCATTACAGCAAAATGAAACTATGCAAATAAATAAAATTCAAGTAAAATAAAATCAACTGAAAATTAAATTATTTATACAGTTTTAATCAAAACAATTTATTTCGAAACGGCTTTAATTTTTTTTTAGCTTTACGCATGAAATATACAGATATTAGTGGGCGCCTATCCCTTCTTGATAGTACATATGTAGTGAAAATGGGGATTAATATATTTATTCGAAAAACTATTGATATATAATTCTAGTATCTGCTTGTATCGTGGAAGACTCTGTAGCTGACCCTGCCTATGAGTTTCTTTTTCAGTTTTTTTATTTTACTATTTAGTTATTTTATTAATACTACATTTATTTATTTATTTATTTATTTATTTATTTATTTATTTATTTATTTATTAAAACCACATTTAAAGCTTATTAGAAAACACACTAAACAGGCATTTTCACGTGTTTTGATATGCAATTTATTATAATAAATTTTACTTAATTTAAGTAGCTCACCAAACCCTTCTTTGTCTAAATTAGGGTTACAGAGCCGTCTATTCAGAGCCACAGGTGCTTTTTTTGTTGTGCCCGTTGCTAGGAAACAGGTGAGTGACGCTTAGAGCACGTGCCATTCAAAGCACATCTTTTGTTTGTTTCAGGACTGCTGAAAAAAGGAGCGGGGTAGGAAAAAAAAAGCCTGCAGTAATCCTATAATAAATGTTGGACATGTCGCAGCCTTTAAATGGTTTTAATCAATTAATGAGGCAGAATGCTGCTTCAGGAGTCGAACCAGGCAGGCCTGCAGCAGGCCATGCTTGGGTTTCATCACAAAGATAAATGCTGAAAGAGATCATTTAGTCCGTCATGACCCGCAAAACACCACTTTAAAAATGTCAGATGATTTTGTTGTCTTTTATTTTATACAGTTCTAGTCTCCCACAACAGTTAAAATTCAATTTCACCAAACTGTTTTACTCTTCTGGTAAATATATAACCAATTGAAATTTATAATAAACCCCCCTCCCCCCAAACAACAACAACAACAAAAAAAACCTTAATTAAATACAGTTTAAAGAAAGACCATTCAGAATATCTGTAACTAAATGTGTCTTAATGTAAGCTACAGGGACAGAGAAGATAAACGTTTGAAATTATCAACCTTGAAAAGTATTTCTTTTGTTTTATTTTACATATAGGCATTGATTAAACATGCAAAACATTCTGAATAATATGTAAAATACTTTTAAAAAGTATACATTCCCTTATAGATTTCTTTGATTTGTGTTTTTTGTCACACTTAAAACATTTAAAATGAAAAATGTTCTTTCCAGACAAAGACAACCTGGTTAAATATAAAAGCAAATTTCAAATGATGATTTTCTCTCTGTGGTGAAAAGTGATTGCACTCTAAACCTCTAAACATATGCAAAAAACTGCCAATGAGTTTTTAAAGTCCCTGTTGAGATATTTTGGTCTGTTTTTCTTGTGGAATTATTTTTAATTCAGCCACATTGGGATTTTCAGCATGAATAACTAAAGGTCAGATTTAAGTTCCAGCCTTTGACTAGGCCTCTCCCAAACATTAGTTGTCATCCATTGAGAGGTGGACTTAGCACCGTGTTTTGGATCATTGTACTGTTGCATAACGCTTTTGAGATTAAGGTCACAAACTGAATGTCAGACATTCTGCTTCTTGGGTTTCCCAGTAGAGAGGAGAATAAATGATAACATCATTTACAACAAACTTCTCAAGTCTTAAAGCCACAAAGCAGCACTAGCTACCTCTATATGCTTTGACTGTTATGATTTTTTTCTACATGTTCAAACATACATGACATAAAGTCAAATTTTCTCCTATCAGTGTTAAAGTTTTTCTCTCCATATTGAGCTCTAGATGTTGTACTGGGTTGTTTCTTGACCTCCTGGCTGAGTCATTGTTGAGTTTTTTGAGTAAGCGCGGTCAGTCCCTCTCCATGTAGCACTGCTCCGTTGCTCTATGCTATGCTACAGTATCTTCTTGATAGATCCTGTTGTGAATGCTCAGGCTAGTTAGCATAGCCATGATGATGGAAAAACTGTTTTCCTTTAACGGTAAATTGTTTCCCTGCCATTAGCACACTTCGCAGCAAGTACACAAGACTGATTGACAGCACTAAGACCTTCCCCCCGACTCTGATTGGTTGTTTTTGGTCAGGAGCGGTGCATTTCTTGAGACAGAAATAGTTGCTCTGGGAACAGGTGGAGGAAATTGATCTTTTGAAAGATTATCTGTCTCTTAACAACACATATGTAAAAAACATTTGCTTTACATAATGCAGCTTTATGTGTGGATAGTTAAATGGATTTCAGCAATCATATTTATACATATAACTGTAACGTGTTTCGGTATTCCAGTCTCCTGCTCCCTTGGCGTCAGTCCTGTGCCGGCTCTTTGGAGCCCTCTGGGATTTTGCTCCCAAAGTGGCATCTGTCAGGTGCTGCTCGGCTCTCAGCAGGCTGGTGAGCCATGTTGGCATGGCGAGGACTTTTCCTCCTTAGCTGCCGCGTTGCTCGTTAAGAGGACTCCATTGTGTGATTGCTCTGAAAGACTCGGATACCACACGTGTCTGGGAGGCAGAAATCAGATCAGGAAATGGACAGAAATATTTTACATTGACCAAATAATTATATCCTGTCAGTAACAATGCGTTGCTCTATTTACTAATGTAGTATTTATTTTTTTGTATTGATCCAGGAAGGAGAGGCAGTTTGTCAAAAGCTTTATTAAATTACCTCTGGTGTTCAGTGTTGAGGTATTTAGTAGGAGAATCAATTGACAGATGATAAAGAGAATCAGCTTCATCTGGGATTCCAGGGCCACTCTGGTCGCTTCATTTACAGTGCGGTCTAGAGCAGGTTGACCTTTCAGAGCTGACGGCTTTGTGCAACTCCTGAACAGAAAAAGGGACACCACTGTGACAGGCTTTAGCTCTGTCACACCATATTCCTGTTTTAGCTCCTGTCTGTCACTTTCTGCCATCATTTCTGGCTGCCGGTGGATTGTGACTGAAAGTGATTGTTATGAAAGCCAGCAGTGGTACTTTTCCACTAAACATTAGGGGAATGTGTTAATAAAAGCTTATTTGGTTGAAAGTTAAACATATAAATGGAGATAAACATTTATTTGCAAAACACACTCAAAATAATTAGTCCAAATGAATAGTTTGAAGTGAGTTTCTCAGTAAAATGTCCCGTTCATGAACACTTTTCCATCTTTGATCTAGAAAATGAATCTGGTTTGGTGACAATGATTTGACATCAGCATCAAGGTTTGAAAAAGTATTGAGAAGCAACAGAAATAAAGTTTTTCTGATGTTGGACTCACAGCCCTAGTTTTAACAAAAATAAATATTAAATTAATTTTTGAACATATTTTGGAGTCAGTTGGGTAAAAAGGAGCATTGCTGTTTAATGTATTAACTCACCTTTCCTGATAATAATAATAAGCAGGTTAAATAATATCTTCTTAATTCTTTCAACAAATGTACATTTTCTAAGCTTTCTAAATTTTAAACTATTAAAAGACAGAAGGTTCTTAGACCATTGTTGAAGAACATGCTCTCCTTTGTCCACAAACATGTATTTAGTTGGTAAAAGTTTGAAAAAAGTCCAAGTCAATCTTGAGTTGATCCATTCTGTGTGTTCCTGTTTCCTCCTGGGAGCCTGACTATGGAGGATCACATTAAATTAGTTTTCTCTTGAAGAATCCATATCCTCCTTCAGTCAGTAAGAGTTAAAATCTGCAACACACAAAACATACAAATCAAGACTTTTGCTACATTATTTTTATTTGTAAGTTGCACACTTTAAGCTGTGAATGGAGGATAAAAGGAAAGAAATGGGAGTAAGAGGAAAAAAATTGAGGAAGCAAATGACTGAAAAAAATTTCCAACCTCAGAGTTGGTAAATGTCTATGATGAAGTTGATTGCAACAGTAAACATCCTCTGTTAAGAGATCTATAGCAGCTCACCTTTGCACAGCGCTCTGTGTTAAAGATGTGCAGAGTTGGAGATTACTGCTGTGACGTTTCCTAAGTTCAAATCATGCATTTAAGTGTTTTAAACATCTGTGCTAATCCTCATACTGGATCCATTAAGCTACTCAAGTCCATCAAGAATATTTTAGTAAGTTACTCTACAAAATGCAACATGACTGGATCGTAACTATGGTGATATCTGATTCACTTGACTTAATATATTTGTGATTTTCCACAAACGTTATCGGACTTGTTTATGGTATTGCTGGGTCACTGTGTGGTGTGGCTATTTATTAGTTTGCTTGTACTGTAGGTATCTGATATCTCATCAGTCAGGTTTATAACTAGGTGTACAATAAGGGGAAAAGTATTTGCTCCCTTATATGTTTCTTTTGTTTCAACTTAAGTAAAAACTATCCAAATAAACTTGAAAACTGAGTTTAATTTCATTACAATGCCTCCAACTGAGCACTGAATGTATTCTGTGACTATTCAGTAGCACCTTGTCCGTCCGTCCATCCATCTATTGATCTGACATTATGCAGTCACATGAATACTTCAGAGCTCCAAAAGCACTTATAATGATTTTAACAGTTCCAAAAACCAAGTACACCTTAATATTCATCAATATGCACAGTTGAAACTCTCTTAATGTCCATGGTCTTCCTTATCTTGTGGGTTCAGCACATCAGCCAATTGTGTGTCAAGTAGCATTGCACCAAGGTATTTCAGTTGAATTCACTTAAAATATTTGAGATATGTTAAATGGAAAAAAAAATCATGAATTTGTTAATTTCCCCAATTAATTTGGAGTTATTTTCCACAGAATACTTAATTGAGAATAGGCGCAAGTCCAATGAGACTCGTTTCAGATTAAAACCACTTTTTAAAAACAACCTTTAATCAGGTTTGAAGAATATTTATCATTTATCCCACATTCTTGTAATCAAATATCTGTTCATTGGTCTGATGTAATATTCTAATCTTAAATGTCTTGTTTTCATTAGCTGTATGTGAGAAATCATCATAATGAACAAAAATAAAGGCTGAAAAACATCAGTCTGCATGTAATTAATTTGTATAATGCATTTCACTTATTGAAATGAGCTACTGAAATAGATTGACTTTTTAATGATATTCCAATTTATTGAATGTGACTGCATAATGTCATACCAACTCTCTTTTGGAAGTTGCAGAAATATTTTTGGTGAGTCCACAGCAAAGCTTTACCTGTGTGGAAAGTTTAGCATTTTATTTTTTTTTTTTTTTTAGTAGCAAACAGTTTTAATGCGTGTTAATTGTAAAGATGAAAGGTTTTTATTTTCAGCGCCTGTCAGAAAGTTCCCTTGTTTCTGTGTCTAATTTCTAATTAAAAATAAATCTGTGTTGGACGGTGTCTGGAACTCGCTCCATTAGGCCTGAGAACACACAGCGGCCTAATCCAATCAGCGGCATTTCTCCTGTGCAGCAGCTGACACTTTGTTGGTTTTAGGCTCTCTGTCACAGCAAGCTGTCAGCTCCACTGCAGCTCCACAGCACTGACAGAGCAGATATAGGCAAACAGGAAAGCACACAGCATGAATATGCAACCGTGAGCTCTGACATGTTAAAAGGTTTAGAGAAACAGTTGAATTGATTCAACACTGGGTTCCTGGGTTACTGAGGGTTTCTTGGCAGAAGAGCTAACAAGACAGAGACAGCATAGTTGAATCAAACATCTGCTAGGACCTTTTTTATTTGACAGCCACACAATGAAGACAGTGGTTTTTTTTTATCGTAGGGTGTAACATACAGTATGGACAGTGCTTCAGTTGTTGTACGCAGTTATTATTAGAGCACCATGAACATGCATTTCAATTTTCTGAGAAGCTCCATGTGAAATTGATCTGCATGAGGTTTACCCTTTTCAAACAGAAACAGAAATCAGTTGACTAATTAGTCTAAGTCTAATTACTTGAGATGCAACCTTGAAAATTGTAAGTTGACTTCTTTAATGTTTTTATTAATAAATTAGCCAGTTAGCACCGACCTGCTCCAGCCATCATCACAGAGCCTGACATCCTCCTCCTATCTATTTTACGCTCTTCCAGGTGTCAGACTAAAATGGCCTGGTGTACAAGTGCTACAAAGCATTAGCACTCCTCATTTAATCATCACACATCCTCCTTTGATTGATGCCTAATGAATGGCTCGGATTGTGGTAAGACGACTTGTTAATGGGTTTTGTGTGTCTGTCAGACATTTGAGGCTGCACTCAGAAATCTTTGCTTACACCGAAGCTCCAAAACTGTGTTTCTTATGAAGAAAATACATTATAGTTTTCTTGCCGGACAAAACACCCTCATTAGAACCTGTGGGGTGTTTAGATGGGGTTTTTGTGTTTCTTTTAATTTTAGATAATGTGCTTCCTAAAGGGATTGTTCAAATCATTTTCAAGTAAGGTTCTATGAAAGGGTCACAACTTGCAGCAGATAACTCGCTTGGTGTTTTCATTTAGTATAAATTCAGATTAGTTTGCTGCAGAAGAGGAAGCTAACAGCTAATCAGGGAGCGGCCAGGACCAAAATGAACTTGTCCGTTTCTTAACGTTACCCCGATCTCAAAACTGGCACAGCAGTTTATGCAAGAATTATTTTTGAAACAAGAATTGTAGATCTTTATCATTAAATATATGCACTTTTTCTTTTTACCAAATTCTACTAGGCCACAGATATTTAGCCCTTAGATACTGAAACTAAACAATAACTAAACTAAACACAAATTTTTCCTAAATATTTATGAATAGCACTTGCATTTATTTTTTTTTTCTTTTGATTTATTGTGATCTAATTTGGATCACAATAAATCCAAATCAGCCTTTTGCCAAACAATAAATCTTTTGGTCGAGGCTAAAACTATTTAGCTCACATACAGGTGAGTTTAAGAAAGTGACTAAAACTCTGGATCCTGACAGTGGAGTTTTTTCTGACTCCTGTAAATTCTAAGGAAATAAACCACACTGTCACATAAAAATATCTATTTTTATCTCACTCTACATCAAGTGAGCTAAAACAAATAGCAAAAGGATTTATTTATAAACTTATAAATACTTAAATTAAATTGCTGATTTTATATTTAATTACATAACCACTGTTTGCTCTGGTTGCTCTGGCAACATGAAACCATTCATCTGCATTTCCTGGTTTAGCCTCAGAGATCTTTTGAGTTTTTAGACAGGTTTTTTAGAGCCTGTCTGAACTTTTTCATGATGATAAATACTTTCTTTTCATCACCATGAAGCTGATTGGCTAAGTCTTTCCATTTAAGCTGTTCTCTAATCATCTGATATGGTACTTTTATGTTTTCTTCCACATCTCTCTGGTTTTGGCTTCTATTTTTGTTTACGACATTTAAGATGATTTCAGTGAAGCAGACTGTCATTTTCTGTACTTCTTCATGTTTTTCCCTTTTTCTAATCAACTTTTTAATCAAACTATGCTGTTCTAATCAGCAATTTCTGTAATGACGCCATTTTAGACAGATTTTCAGAGAGGAATATATAGAAAGGTTGCAGATTTAATAAACAAAAAACCCGACTGACTTGGTATTTGTGCAAGAGCTAAATTAGTTTTCCTTTCTAAGAATGTGACACTTACAAGATATCACTCTTAACGAAGCAGTTTTGACCTTTAGCACTCAAATCTTTATTTCTAATCGCTGCTCCATCTGTTACACACAGGTCAAACACTGATGATGCTACAGCTACATTTAATCTGTGCTCCCCCCCTGCTACCACCGCTGCACACACACATTTAATTTAATTAGAGCTTGTGTGTCCTCCTTTCTGCCAGTTTTGCTGCGGCGCTCGGGAGCAGCCAACATTATCACTGATTGCTTCAAGATAGGAAGGAATATGATTAGACCACGTGTTCGGGTGTTTGTGTGTGTATAGGAACTGGGCAGAAATGTGACGGTGTTTGTTAGTGGTGAGAAACGTAGCAGGCCGAAGGATGAGGAGAGGGTTGGATGAAATGAAAAAGAAGGGTCTTTCCATCGTAAATGTTGTGACTTTGTCCAGAAACTCTTTAGGACGACTTGTAGTTGCTGAACTGAGCTACTTTAAAGTTTGAGAGGAGAGCTTCTCAAACTTTCTTCAACTGTAGGTCAATATCTCTGTAGGGATGTAAAAGTCTCAGTGCCAGGTATCGCAAATGCTGGATGACAACTATTGCTAGTGGAGATTAGTTATCCACAGCACCTCAAGCCTGCTCCATGCACATTGATGCAGTATTGAAGTTCAGAATATACCAGAGGATGACGACAGGTTTACATCAGAGCACCGATAGAGCAGCTGAACAGGAAAAAGATCCTTAAGCTGTTATCAGTTTGATTTCCAAATGGACAGAAGATAAACCTGAAAGCTTTGATTCTTTGTGTAATAAGATTAGTGTTATTAAAGAGAGGAGGGAGGAGAAGGAAAGAGAGAAGAATAAAGATGTGACCTTTAAAGAGCAAGGTGAGCAGAGAGGGAGGAACCCTGCTGAGGAGTGGCCAGAAGAAGAAAAAGAGAGAAAGAGAGCAGGGTGGGGAGCGACCCTGGTGAAAACAGATTAGTGGACCATGAAGTGGATTACCAGCAATGATAGTCCCTCAGAGAGCGGTCGGTCCAGGCCAGCACAAACACCATGAACACATCAAAGCGATCTGTATCAGTCCAACCTGCCGGTCTAATGCAAACACACACATAGCTGATTGATAGCAGTGGGCTCAGTTTTCTAAACGTTAAAACTCAATCAGTTTAGGTCAAGTTTAAACTTCAAGTAGTTTAAATGATCTCCAAACTACAGAGATGTTGCTTGAAAGAGAGAATACGTGAAAAACATTTTATGTTCAATAAGCTTTATATTTCTACAGGTCACACTATTTACCATATTAAACATAAAAGCAAAATTATGTTTTCTTGTCTAATTGTTGCCTGTTGGCAACATTGTGCCATTTTGGAAGAACCTATTGAAATTAATTTGTCAAATAACTATTTTAGTTATTAGTTTTTTTTTCACAATTTAATCAAGATGATGTGATGAAAAAGAAGGTAGAAATTACAGTGCTGTGGGAAGCTGCAACATTATTTGTGTTAAACAATAAAAATGTATATTTTTCTTGTTTCTCTTTTCTCAGATTCTCTGCCAACAACCATCAAACGATGCTTGAAGCTAACAGAAGGAAACTAGGATCAGTGAAGGGCCAGCTTCTTCCACAGGGGAGGAAATATTAGAAATGACACCCCAACAATAGTATGACAAGGGGTTATGAATCATTGAAACTAAAGAGTAGTCCTGACTGATTCTTCTCAACTATAACAAATTAAATGAGGTTAATTGGAAATGGTAAAGTCCTCTGTGACTACCAACAGTTTTATGGACAATTTAATCCGATTTCAGCGCAAAAGTCAAACTTTTTAAAACAATTTCTCAAACTACAGGCACAAACTATGATGTATTTCATTGGGATTTAATGTGATAGACCAACACATGATGTATAATTGTGAAGTGGAAGGGAAATTATTGAGGGCTTTGTACAGTTAACCGAAGCAGAGGACCTACAGACTGGTTTCAGCTCATTTCTCAGTGAAAACAAATTATTATATAACTAACAAGTGCAACTGATGAGGGATCAGAGACCTCAATGTTAAACTGAACTGAGCACATCACATTTTAAAGGGTAAAGGTAACTGATGTACACGGAAGAATGTTTTGTTTTTTTAGATTTTGACAGATTCACACAGAATTAGATTTCTGAGAAAAAGGTCAAAATTTAGAGATTAGAGTCCTAATTTTTTTCCAGTATCCCTCTCCCGTAGATTTTAGCTTGTGTTTTAACAAAAAATGTACGAATGGTTCTAGTGACACAATAATCTGACTTTTATGCTTGTTTTTCATAGTTTTAGGCTTGCTTAAGCAGACACCTCTGTGTGTGTAGACGGTGCCGCTGGCCAAGAACAGCTAATCCCATTTAACACAAACATTACAACGGCTAAGTTTTACTGACACGTCTGAAAATTGTTCTGTGGACCAAAACGTTCGGTCAGCTGAAGCAAAGAAACACAAGCTGGAGTCGTTCTGGTCTTTCCTAAATGTTCTCTACTTATTTACAGCTAGAATGCCTTGAAGTTTTTTTTTCAGTCTGTATTGTGGAGGATTTTCCTCCAGAGAATAAATCGAAGAATTTTTGTTTCAAGCTGGAAATTCCTGTAAAGGTCAAATTGGTCTCTAACAAGCACACACACAAATCAATAAGCAAATGAAATGATAAAAGACTCTAAAGCCTTCCTTCTTGCTGACATTTCTGTCTTGCCTGCTGAGGGGAAGTTTTGATACGAGGGCCCCCCTAGGTGGAGGATGGGGGTCCACTCTTTCTCTGTCTTCCCCTTCCACTCAGCCTAAATGAGGGCTTTTTTGCAGCTGTTGGTGGGGGGTGTCTGCTCCAGGAAGAATGAGGACTTCCTGTGGAGGGCCTTTAAGAGCGAGGCTGAAGGGTCTGTCGCACGCTCACTCTCTCTCTCCCACAGTTTGTCTCGATGTCTCTCGCCCGTCCTAAATGGGGTCAAGCTTCAAACCAGGACCAGCTGCTTTCAAAGACCCTAAAGAGCAGTTTTCCACCTGCCCTTTTCTCCCCTCCCTCCATAACCTTTTCATCACATTTTCTTGTTCGCTTTTCATTCCTCTCTCCACTTCCTTTCCATCCCATCGACAGTGATGCATCCATGCGCTCGTTTACGGAAGGGACAATATTTCTGAGATGATTAAGGAAACAAAGAGACAACGTAGAGTGCTGTGAAAAACTTGAGATTTATTCTGGTTTTGCTGTTTTGTCACACTTAGATGTTTCAGATCTGAAAAGCAGTTGGAGTGTTTTGGCTGTCAACACTTCCAGATGGCCAGCAATGAAACATAAAGAGCATGTTTAAGGTTCATTTGAATTGGATTTTAGTTCAGACTTTGACTAGACCATTACAAAACTTCATTTTTGTATTATTCAGAGGCAGCCTTGCCTTGATGCTTTGGATCCTCATCCTCCTGTTGAACCACAGTGTGACTGTGGTTAAGGTCCAGTACTGCAAGCCAAGCAAGCCCAAACCATCATACTGCCACTACCATGTTTTAGGTGAAATGCAACATGACTAACATTTTTCTAACAGGCCCGTTTTTTTCTTGTCATTTCACAGAATATTTTCTGGGAATTTTGGGGATCATCTATGTTTTTTGGCAAAGGTGAGTTTGAAGGTTATGGTCTTTCAGCATTTAGAGACATTTTATAGAAATAGATTATGTGTTTGGTTTGTGAAATTGAGCTCAGAATCTGTCTAAAGCTTGCAGTTTATTCAGTCGGCTTGTTTTGGATTAAAATAAGTTATATAATCTGAAATATTTGTGACTAGAAGGAAAAAATAGAAGGCAAGGACCAAATGTATACATTAGCTGTATTTCCATTAATTATAAACGTGCGCAAATGAATGAAAACATGACAATTTATGTAGTTGCTCCAACTCCTGAATAAGACACTGACGACTAATAAGAAGTATTTTTCCTGTAGCTGTTTACATCTGTTCCTGTCATGTTTGAGGACTTATTGTGTGAACAAGCATGATTTTAATGTCATTTCTTATTTAATGGAATCAGCATAATTGTGAAATTGTGTTTTCTTTTTACATCAGCAGAATATCAACAAAGATTTGCACATATTTCTAATGGAAATGCAGCTACTGTCTTTTACTGGGATTCTACATGAGAAACCAACAATGTAGTGCATAATAGTACTTAGCCTACTGTATTTAAATACCCCTCAATGTTTTCTGACGTTATCTGGATGTAATTCCATGTCAATATCAATGCAGCTGTTGAGTTTTTTAAGACATAGTTAGGTTATAAAACATGGAAAAAGAAAGCATTTCTCAGGGCGTTATGTTATTTATTTTTTTTACCAGTGACCTGGAGGACGCTTCTAGTCTTTTTATGCGTTCCAAATGTCTGCTGTCGTTGAGAGAAGGCATTACAATCATTTTTAGCTGAAGCAGATTTGATGCTTAAATAGAAAAAAAACTCACTGAAAATTGGATGAGGAAAAAAACGCAAGAGGGAACCTCTCTCTATTAGCTGGAGCTACATACCTGTCTCATTTTTACAAGGTGTCCATGTCTTCTTGATGTGTTTGAATATTGATCAATAAGTCCATTAGAGATGCAGAAAGCTCTGTACCATCCATCCTCTCTGTGTTCCTCTCCACCCAGGCTGATTCTAAGCTTCCCTTCCATCCTGGGTTTTATTTAATTTGTTCATATAATGGACATGAATGAACATGAATGAACCCTGGGGTTTAGGGCGACCAATGAGGTTGGGCCAGCTCACCAACGTGTGTCAAAAGAGACACAATAACTGGCTTTATTTTTGATTGGCTTCTCCTTTTTTTGAGAATGACTTCCAAAGTGCAATGTCCCATTGTAGGACCAGAATGAAGCTTAACAATGCAGCATGGGCTCCATGAGGAGGGGGTTGTTAGACTTCTAGATCCAGGCTTTAGGCCTGTACTGGACAACAGTGTAGTGTAGTAACTCTGCCTGGGGTTAGATTCACAATGGAAGGGCTTTAGTTCCCATTGTGGAAGCTATGTCAACAGAGAGGCTGCTGGGAGCATCGCTGGCTGGCATGGAAAAAATGATCTGTCTTACACGTAACTTTATATATAGGAACAAGGTTCTTAAGAGTTTTAGGTGCACAGAAATACAGACAGACTGATGTAAACCTGTCCAGTTTGTTACAAATCATTGTCAATGTTTTTTTTTTTCTCTCTCCAGCTTTCTGACAGTCTGAAGAGACAAACAGGCATCTGTTGCACAGGTTGGTTGGTGCAGTCAGTAAAGTGCTGTGCTTTGACTCCAGTGATTGTGGGTTCAAACCCTGGTTGTGGCAATGTCTGAAAATGTGCTACAGCAAGGTGGAGACAGAACGCTGGTGGAGTGGGGATGCATCTGTCCTCACTGTTTACAGAGAGAAAGACCCAGACCTCAAGATCTTCCTGATGTACCAAGACTAAAATATGAAGGCATCCTTGCTCCACCTGTGCCATTTGGCACTCAGAAATTTTTATTGAAAAGAAAGTTTCTACCTCTACTCCAAGATTAAGAAGCATTATTAGCGTTTGGTCTGATGGCATCAGACATCAATTATGAAGGATATGGGTTCAAATCCTAGAAAGAATGTCTATTTTGTCAGTCTCTTTCAAAGTCACCATTGTTACAAGACAAGAACTTTCCATTTGTAGATTGAGTTGCTCCGTGTTTAAGTTTGACTTCATGGTTCTTCTGAAAGTGGACATAAAAAACAAAGACATGGACGAGGAGTGACAGTAGATAATACAACTTGTATAGAAAGCACAAAGTTTGAAAAAGTTTTGTGAAAAGCACCCGATCCAGCATTCAACTCCAAGTAGAGTTATCTATATTTTAACAATAATTGTATATAAAAACACAAATGCACTACAAGAACACATCAATATGAAAGAGAACAATCTCATAGAGTATTTGATATGTCAACAAACATAAAAAGTCCAAGTTCAATGTCTGGAAGAGCAAATAGTTTTATCAAGGATTGAAAACAGAGATAAATGTGTTATGAGTTAGAAAAGAGAAGGTTCTTATGGTGTGGTGGGATTGTCATCAGTTCTTAAACCAAAAGGTCATAAGTTCAAGTCCTGGTAAGTTCTCTGAAAGGCCTTTTGATTTGTTGACTTGTTTTTGCCTTTTGCCAACATTGACTGCAGAAAAGATAAGTGAGCCAGGAGAAATTTCCAAAGCATAGACGGGCCTATGGTCTACAGGTTATGGCATCAGAGGATAAGGGTTCAAATCTTGCTAGGAAAGCATAGTATATACCACTTTGGTCAGCATTGTTCAGTCAATATTGACACCTCGAAAGAGGAATGTGCCATGAGAAACTTCTAAACCATGGAGGGTTGTGTAATCCACAGGTTATGGCATCAGATGTCAAGTACAAAGGAAAAGGGTTCAAATCCTGGAAAGGATTTTTCATTTTCTCAGTTTTCATGCAAAAAAAACAAGAAAATGAAAAATCGGCAGTATCACCAAAAAACTCTGAAATCGGTGCATGGAAAGGATGTCTATTTTGTCAGCATCTTTGTCACCATTGACAGCAGAAAAGATAAATGCGCCACAAAAAACTTCTAAAGTGTGGAAGGTGGTGTGGTCCACAGGTTATGGCATCAGACCTCAAGTACAAAAGATGTGGGTTCAAATCCTGAGCTTGGTCTGTAAATAATTGGTATTTATTGGGATTTTAGATTAAAACACACAAAGTTCTTAAAAATCAGGCAATGTGTTCAGAAAAACATGATCTTTGCTTAAATATGTTGTTTTTTTATCAATCTATTTTTACTCCAGGAATGCACCGATTTCAAAGTTTTTTGCTGATACTACCAATATTTCATTCTGCTGTTTTTTTTACATTAAAAACAGAGAAAATGAAAAATTGGCAGTATCAGCAAAAACCTTTGAAATCGGTGCATTTGTACTCCAGGAATGCACCGATTTCAAAGTTTTTTGCTGATACTGCCGATATTCCTGTTTTCTTGTTTTTGGAATATTGGCAGTATCAGCAAAAAACTTTGAAATCGGTGCATTCCTGGAGTAAAAATAGATTGATTAAAAAAAAAAACATATTTAAGCAGAAATCATGTTTTTCTGAACCTGTAATCTTAATTGACTCATTATGATGAACTTAGTGTGTTTTAATGTAAAAATCCATTAAGTACGAATTATACTGACCAAGATCAGGATTTGAACCAACATCTTTTGTACCTGAGGGCTGAGGCCATGACCTGTGGACCACACAACCTTCCACGCTTTAGAAGTTTCTCATGCTGCATTTATCTTTTCTGCTGTCAATATTGACTGAAAGATGCTGACAAAATAGACATCCTTTCCATGCACTGATTCAAAGTTTTTTGGTGATACTGCCGATTTTTCATTTTCTGGGATTTTTTCATGAAAACCGAGAAAATGAAAAATCCTTTCTAGGATTTGAACCCTTGACCTTCATACTTGATGTCTGATGCCATAACCTGTAGGCCACACGTTAATCTATGCCTCTTAATTTTGAAGTAGAAACTTTCTTTTTAATAAAAATTTCAGTGCCAAATGGCACAGGATGCCTTCCTATTTTAGTCATGGTACATTGGTCAATCTTATGGTCTTTCCTCTCTGTAAACATGGGGATGGACACATTCCCACTCCCCTGGCATTCTGTCTCCACCTTGACGTGGCACATTTTTACACTGACTCAGATGTTGCATTTGAAGGTTACCACAACCAGGGTTTGAACCCACAATCACCAGATTCAGAGCACAACACTTTACTGACTATGCCAACCATTCTGCTGAACAGATGCCTGTTTGTCACTTAAGACTGTTAGAAAGCTGAAGAAAAGCTTAAAAAAAACATGAATGACTGCAAAAGTCATTTATGTGTCACTTCTTACATGAGCTCAACATGTTCAATTCAACCAACTCTAGCTGTTTAAATTAGGTCCTTCCCCCCAGGCAGAAATACACACAAAACTACTCTACTCGTCTCCTGGGTGCAAAGCTGAACAAACAGTAGTGACCAAACACAAATGAACACATGTACAGAAAAAACAAAACAGCAGCATACTTTGCAGCTCTCATTACTAGCAAACACAAAAGGAGCCACTGAGTCAACCCACAGAGGTTCAACACTCAGAAAAAAACAGAACTCTCCACAATCTGCTTCTGCACTAAAACATCCTCAATGCAACCATTTCCCATCATCTGTTTGGTTCACTTTTTTTTTTCTCAACATGCAGGGGAGAACAGTGTGGAGTAGGTAAAGAGGCTGGTGGACATCTCTGGATTCAGCATCAGCAGTCTGACATTAGCCGCTATTGTTTCTCTGGGAGATGAAGAGAAAGAGAACAGCTGTTCAGCACAGAAGCATCAGAAAGTCGAAGCCTGACGTCATGAGGCAGAAAAAAGGTCATCAGTAAAGAACAGTAGCAGCACAGAAACAGAAATACATATTGAGTTGGAATAGTTATGTGTAAATGAGGTGTTTTCATTGAACCTGGACAAAAATACTTCATAAAATTATTCAAATCAATTTGTTTTTTGTGAATTTTAATTTATTTTAAACAGTTTACTATTTTTTTACTCTATTTTATGATGTTCCTCTGAAAGTGTACTACTCTCCTCACACCTTCATATTTTCACTTTCCAATCCTCCAGCATCCTCACACTGATCACTAAAGACTCCTATTATCTTGTCTACACCTGTGATCAGAACAAATGCACAGTCCCAGCTAATGACAAGCCCCCCGGCTGACCCGCTGACCCACATCACAATGAAGAAAGAAGCAGATCGCAACAGCTGGGCAATAAGATGAAGGGCTTGCTTTGGGTGATGAGATAAAACGAGTTACAAGACGGTAATGGAGAGTTCAAGAGCAAGACAGGAGGACGACAAGAGGAGATAAGAGGTTAAAGGAAGTGAAAGGACTGCAGAGTTTGTATTGGGCATAAAGGGAAGTAGTAAAACGGAAACTGGGTTGGGAATAAAGACCTAAAATTTCCATCCATATGACTATTGATGTTATATTTGAGAATGAAATAACCCTGCCAGGTATGTGGAAATATCTTGGTGCACTTGAAATGACAAAACTAACTTGCAAGAAACTTTTCAGTAAAACATAGGAGCTTATTTTAAGTAAATAATTCCTTAATACTTATTCTACTGGCAGATTATTTCACTCATAAGACATTTCTCTAATGTTCTAAGTGAAATAATCTGCCAACAGAACTAGTACGTATGTTATAGATCATCAAATAGATCTGATTCTAACAGGATAACCAGAATAAGTACAACAAGCTCTTTTCACGTTGTTGAATTAAATGTGAATAACCCCTTTTTTTTTTGATAGCTGGGTTCAGTTTCAACAAACACACTCAGGCCTCCTCATTACCAGACATATAGAAAGAAGATATGTTACATAGAACCCACCTGACACTTGTCCAATAGCAACTCATTATGCTCCAATAAATAATTTCCAACAACAAATGAGAAACATTCACTGATTCAACAATAAGATGGAGAGACTGGGCAAAAACCAGTCTCTCCATCTCCATCAACAAGAACAAAACACTGACTTTCTAAATCAGATTTATCTCCAAGACTCCTGGGAAAATATTTGGAAAGTTAAGGTCTTATTGTGTCTAAACAAGTATAGCGTTTCAAAAAAACAACATACTGACCGTCAAACATGGTGGTGGTGAGATTATCAGCTTCAGGATGTCTTGGTGTAACTAGAGCAAAAAGCACAAATCTGTAAGAAGGCAAAGACTTTTTCGGAACAAAATAATGTTTTGTTTTTTTTCTATATAAGCCTAAAACAAACCTTGTTCTTCTTATGTGTGACAGAGGAATGGGAAGACGCAGGATGAAAACTGCAGAGCAACTCGATCAGTCAACGTGGACAGATGATCAGGATAAGAGAAGAAGAAGAAGCTCTGTCCATCAGTCTGTCTCTCCAACATGAAGACCAACTATCATCATCCCATCACTCCTGAACTAAACATACACACACACACACTCGTCATTCCATGTGGTAGCGCATGCTGTCAAACTGCACTGATGAGATGTCTATAACATTCTTTCACTTTGACAGAGAATCTAAGTATAATTTTAAGAAAATAAAATCCCCAAAACACAAATCTTTTCTACATCTCTACCTAAATCTTTCACTCTGTGAAATAAAAACAATATTTCTCACATTTTCGGAAAATGCATCTGACATCATTTGATGCTTTCTCTGAAAAACAAAAATTAAACATCAGCCGATCTGACAGGTGAAATGTCTCAAGTTGCAAAGCAGATCACAAGCAGCCTAAAGATGAAAATCTGCAGAAACCAGCTTGGATATTTCTTCCTGCATCATGAACTTAGAAATAAAAATCATTTTGAGCGTTTAAGAAATGATGTACGTTGCTCTTCTTCTTTTCTTCCTAATTAACTACATTTTCAAGGCATCAGTAAGCATCCAATCATCTCCAGTTCAGCCCAACTTTGTAAGAGCAGTTAAACCTCAACAAAAACTTGAAAGGGTTCAAAGGTGAAGCTCGAGCAAAGGTCTATTCATTCAAGAGCTGCAGCTGTTAAATTATACTTTCCTTTATGAACGTCTCAATTTGACTCAAACTCCTTTTACCTACTAACTACAGGAGCAGAGAAACTCTGAGCCTGTGCTGCTTTTCTTCTGCTGTCTCTGCCTTCATCCTCTGGAATAATGAGATCGACATTCACCTCCATACATTCGCAGTGAATCGGTTCACACACTTCATCCCTCAAGGCCACATATTTACACTGTGTGAAAAGAGGCCATTATAATTGATGTTAAATATGACGCAAAACAAAGATGATTATATGTCTCCATGCATAAAGTCAACCTCTACTTAGAAATGAAGATCACCGTTTAGTTCAGATTTATATTTTCACTGATCAAAACTAACTCAAAATCCTATCAAAGATCTGCTTTAACAATGAAGCTACAGAGACAATAAGTCACATTTCCTTACTGAAGACTATGAGAAGATTTTAAATCTTCAGATGTTCTTCAGACGTGTTACAAACATGTATTGTGAATCACCTTTTTCATTTTTATTATTCTCTTCTATAAAACATGCTTTCTTTTAAAAATCTACAAATGAACAACTTGAGTAAACACTAAAAACATGTGTGTGAAGCAGAAAGAAAGGCAACACAGGGTTTTTTGTTTCTGCCTTTTCCTCAAACACACACACACACACACACACACACACACACACACACATGAATTTGGTATGGGAGCAACAAAGAGGCCAAGAGGAGGCGACAGTTATCAGCTGCTGTAGGAAATTAAAGGGACGGTCCGCGGTTAATATGCAGATATGCAGATGGGTTGACGGAGCCCTCTCTCGCTGTCTGTCAGTTGTGTGCCAACCCCCCACCCCAACCCACACACACACCTAGAGGCAGGTAGAGTGTGAGGACACAGTGTGTATCAGTGTGCAACACCAGATGGGATGAGCAGGTTGATTAATCTCTGTGACATGAATACCAAATCAGAGGCTGAAAAGTGAGAGTGAATACAGATAGGGATGATTGAGGCTGTGATGATAATGACAATGATGGCGGGTGCGTGAGCGTGTACGTGTGATGCAAACATCCCCTCTACGTTCGATTAGATCACGCTCCGGACTGAACGCGCTGGTTCTTCAAAGTCTGAGTTTCGGATCGTCACAGAAATCATTAGGAGATATGAAACCGCAGTCAGTTCAGCTGATCAACTCAGATCTGCAAAACCCTCACGTCGGTTTCCTGGCAAAGGAAACTTGAAGTGTGAATATACAGCTCTGGAAAAAATTAAGAGACCATTTTACTTTCTTTATGGATATATTTGAGTGAAATGAACATTGTTCTTTTATTCCATGAACTACTGACAACATGTCTCCGAAATTCCAAGCAAAAATTTTTATTTATTTGAAGAAAATGAGAAATGGTCAAAATAACGAAAAAGACGCAGTGCTTTCAGACAGTTTATAGATATCAAATAATGCAAAGAAAACAAGTTTATATTCATTTATAAACAGCAATACTAATGTTTTAACTCAGGAAGAGTTCAGAAATCTAAATTTGGTGGAATAACCAGGAGGTTTTCAATGGGCTTCAGTGCAGTGGGCTCTTCATTTTTTTCCAGAGCTGTAAATATATAAAATGTTTTCTTAGTGTATGAGTCACTCAATGCTTTTTAACTCTTAGAGCTTGTGTTGTCTGGATAAAATGAAATAACTACCTCATTCTTAACAGGTTTTGAAACTAAAAAGTCTTCAAATAAACAAAACAACATCTGTCATACTTTACTGGTGTCATTCTAGGCCCTGATAAGCTCTCTATCAGCTGATGTTAGTAATGTACATTTCACTAAGCATGTTAAAAATTATTTGGGCTTCTTTTCCCAAAAGGAGAATGTTGCAGAAAACGTGAGGATTATTCAAATGCAACTTGGGATTCAAACCCAGAACCTTCTTGCAGCAACACCAGAATCAATCTGCTGGAAATTTCAACCATTATCTTTAATACATATGTAAGTCTTCATATATTAAAGGACTTTTAAACAGCTTCTTTTTTTATGAAAGTGACAATGACCAACAAATCAACTATATTGGTACAATTTTGGTGCTAAATCAATCAATACATCACATGTATTGATTAGCAGAAATCTGAGAATCTGGAGTAAGACTTGGGCATCAATGTTCACAAAACGCTCAACATCTAATCTGACTGAGATTCAAGGAGCAATAGGTAAGAGTTATAGTCTCTAAATGAGCAAAGCTAGAAGCTAAAGGAAAAGGAAGAGTATTGACTGAAAGACTGAATGTAGCTCCTGCCTCACTTTTCAGATCTTTATTTTTCCCCCTGATGTCTCTCAAAAATACACTGACATTTATGGTTGGAACGTGACTAAATGTGGCAAAGTTCACCGCAATGTAAAAATAAGCATATAATACAAAAGGCCCCTTCAAAAGTTCACAGCTTTCTGTACCATAAAAATGTTGCTTTTTTCCATTTAAAATGAGGAAAAGCCATAAAGAGTCAAAGTGAACATGATAAAAACACACTCCTTAGGGGAAATGTGAGTCAGGGCCACAATGTTGTTATTACAGATTGATATACACTTTGGTCCCCTTTTATTCAAACAGCTCACCTCTCAAAATCAGATGCTCAGAGCTCTTTTGATGACTACTTTGAGCTGAATGCGTGTTATTACAGGTATTACATGAAATTGCCAGTGTTAGGCGGAGGGGATTATGATGCTTTTGGGTCAATACTTCCTCTGAGGTGTTTGGCGGCTGCAGCTGAGGAGCGATTAGACCTTTTGTCTGTCAATCTGCCTTCATATGGGGTGGTTATCACACACACATTATAACCACAACCAACTGCACTTTTGTGGTGATTACAGCCTTGGGTATATCAGGCCCTTTCAGTATGCTGAGAGGTGTCAGTGCGGCTTCGGGCCGTCCCACAAGCACACAGCTGCTTGGGCGAAAGATGACAGGTGAAAGAATTTAAGAGCTGAAATTATGACTTGATAAGCTGAAATCTGCTGGTATATGGGTATTCATCAGCTGGTTCCATTTCTCCCCCGTTTTCCAAACGGATTTTTTCTGAGAACTTTCTAAGCAACAAGTCACTTATGAGTTCAAGTGCATTTTCATTTTTACTTCTTTCTGTATTTCAAGGAATATCTTAGTGATAATATTCAGAGGTTTCCTTTAGTTTTTTTTTTTCTTTTTTTTTTTTTTTTTTCTTTTTTTTGGCCACAATTTCTTCAAACTCTTATACAAAATTAGAATGGATAAATACAAAAAGCAACTACAGTAAGGCACTTTTTTTTTGATATCCAGACCCAAGTCAGAGTATTTCCAGGACTGCACAATCAAGAAATTACTTAAATAGAGCCTGTCTAACAGGATGAAGTAGGCAAGATCTCCAAAAGCATCACATCACTTAGGCTCTGACATCTATCAGTGTGGAAAGGCCTCCAGTGAAGCATTACCCAGAAATGGAGCAAACATGGAACAGTGGTAAACCTTCTCAGCAGTGCATGGCCGACCACAGTTGCATTAAAACCTTAATCAGGTTATAAAAGAGGCCAGTACAACATGTGAAGTTCTGCAGGCCTCACTTCAGGCTTAAACAGTCAAACTTGACTGTGAGACAATAAAAAAAAAAAAAAAAACTGGGCTAACATGGGGCTGGGAGTGTTATTATCTGTCACTCCTTTGGTGCTTCAAGACCTGATTCTCACCGAGGTTAGGGACCAGAGCCACTCCTGAATACTTGAGACCAACCAGTAAGAAGACTTATGATTGCTTAATTTAATCGTTCCAACACCAAATATAATTTAACATGCTTTAATACGAACACTGGAAACAGTCTTAGCTCTACCACAGAAACTAATATCTACAGTCCTCCTTTTTCCCGCTTTTGGGGGTACAGCCAATCAGCACCAAAGAAAATAAATGTCCCTTCTTGATTGGCTGCTTTGCAGGTGCAGCCAATAGCGTGTTGAGTATCATTTTACCTGGATATTTCAGCTTCCACAATACATATTCCTTAAAATATTTTAGACATGAAAATAATTTAGTCACAGTTCACTGAAAAACCTGCAAATAGGTGGGGGTCCACTGGAATGTGAAAAGATGCAGACTTTTTAAAATGTTCAACATTTTTGTGTAAATACTATAAATTGGTGGTGTTTTTACTCTAAGTCTTTTTCAGCAGAACTATTAGACGTTTTATCAGATCACATTTCTAAGTAGAGAACGTAATGCAGTTAGTTAGATCCCGAGTATTGGACTGCTGCATGCCGTGCAAATAAGCTAATTATTAATTAACAGTATCAATGAAAGCACATGAAGACTATTAAATTTATCTACTATATTATTTTTTTTCTGAAAACTTTCAAACAAAAGTGAAAAGCTTTTTATGCTTTATATTTTCAGTCTAATAATGCACTTTAAAAACGTCTC